GTAAAGAAACAACAAAAGGATTACTTATCATTTATTACATCAAATGCATTGCATTATGTTACATTAAACAATAAATAAGTAAATTGGTGTGATATATGTTACCTTGTTCATAACGATTATTTATGTGTATATATATATATATATGGGATTATTTTGGAGACAGAGTACATAACTGAGTGTTGTTCGGGTTTTCTTGAATAGATCTAATTTTTTTTATAACCGACGGAACGAACATGTGCGCCTGGTGTACACTGTTATGGACACGCCTGTCAATAACAGTTGCAACGCCACTCAAGGCTTTTAATCGTAAAACGTAAGCTGACAAGTCCCATGTGCCTGTAATAAGCCCTTCGAAATGCTACCAACTTATTTATTGAACCCATGCGCTGATAGATATCTTGTCTGTCTATGAAGTCAACACAGTTTGAGATGGTTAGAAAAAGCTTCATCTCCATGCAATGCAATAAGAGTTATTACATGGATCAATTGATGGATTTTTTGACCAGCTTAATGCGATTACATGTTGATATGTGAAACGACTCCCAGTTTTTTTGTAAGGGGACTTCGTTGATCTTCTGACTGCCTAGTCCTGGAGCAAAGATAGGATCGACAATGGAAAGAAGTCGCCCAGAAGATGTCTACTCAGTCACACCTTAAATATACTCGGTTTGTACGTCGATACTTCCAATGATCACTACACCAACTTAATTTTTGGACCAGTTCTGTATTTCAATTTTTTTTTGTTTCTTTAATTTTTTTTTACAAAATTCGTTTTATTGTTTTTTTTTCGAATTTGTCACAAAATTCGGGGAGCATAATATTAGTAAATAAATGTGACCAAAAAATAAACTTGTCATAGTGTTCATTCCTATACCTATCGATGTGATACAGAAACACAGTCGCAGGCAAGATATTCTATTCCTAGGGTGCGCATAATAAAAGATGATGAAAAGCGTTTAGTATGAAGGGAATATCGACTAAGTAAGGATGGTATCCCGCCGCACATCTGGATGTCTGATGATAAAAGGAAGTGAAACCGCAGTCAGTAATTTAGCCTTGAGGGTCAGTTCCAAACATACTTTTACTTTAGTATCTTTTATTACTCAATTATGAACTCTATCTATAAATATAATTAGGTATGTACTTATTTCCTGCAACAGTCTAATTTTCAAGAAATTCCGATATAAAAAGGTAATAGGAAACAAAAGTAAATAAAGGATATGCACAAATAAAAGTTCTTTGGTAGCTGTGGAAGCTTTGGGACAATACACAGATTAACAAAATTGTACTTAACAGGTGAAAAAAGTGACATACAAAAATGTACAACACGTAGATCATGTACTCGAACAATAGCACTCGAGACCGAACATCAAAATATTTGTTTTCTATTACGGTGCGTCGCGTTGATTGAATCTCAAGTTAAAATATTATTACTATCATATTACACCGGCCATTTTGAATACCAAGAGACAGCGCACTGTAATATACACAAAAAGTACGCACTATCCCATGCTTGTGTCCACTAACTTAAGTACGTCTTAGGACGGCCATACACGGGCAGCTTGAAGCAGCTAGTATCCCCTGCTTCTAGCTGCGACCACATAGCAAACTACAGTCTTCTATGTACACAAATACACCAAACCTCTCGAGCAGTTACAACTGTGGCGGTTTGCAGCGCTTTGAAATTTCATCGTGCAGTCAAGCAGTCGCCAGGCATATACTGACTGCTCGAACTGTCGACTGCTTTCGCGCAGTTACCTCGGCCCGCGCAGTCCGTGTATATTGATCATTGGCTAACTGCTCAAGCAAGCCGTGTATGGCCGCTCATAAACCAATGCTTGCAATGTTAAAGACACTCTTAATACATTGTATTGAGTTTCAATTTAAGCATTGGTTTAGACGTACTTAGGTTTAGAACAAATGGACATCAGACCCGTATTAATAAACATCTTTTAAATATCTATGACACCCCCCTGATCTCGACAAGTACCATTATGAATTATCTCTTAGGATACTGTCTAAAGACATCCATGCACTTTAATTGATTAGGATTTAACATCGAGTATATCATTAGAAATAGAGACGAAATGTCATTTAATTTGTTTGAAATCTATTCTGCCAAATCATTACGGTGACAACTGCGCTCCGATTGGCCAGCCCGAATTCGAAACAATTGACGGGTGTCGTCGATTGTTTCACTTCAAAACGACCAGTTTAACTTGAGCTTTGCTATAATGGACCATAACTGAAAAATTACAATATATTTAATATTTATTTACCGATGAAATGTGATTCTGTTTGTTTTGTAATTAGATGTTTAGCTGTTTTGTGGTTATATACTCGATGGGATTTAGTACCGAACTCAAGCTCAATTGCTAAAACTTTTTATAAAACGACATTTGACGTCATTGACTTACAATTATATGGACGTCGGGTCCGCGCTAAAAAGTGTCCGAACTTATAGGGCGTTAAAATCGTATACAGAGCGTCATTCACGCTTTAGTCTTCGTTTGTTCGACTGACAGCGAAGCAAGCAAAATTAGACAGTACTGCGATGACATTACAATTTAAATTCAACGTTTTAGCTTTTTCATATTCCTTTACATATCACTACCTTTAAATAGGTTGACTTGGGACATTTTTTTCGTGGTTTTTGTATTAGACCCGTCGTCCATTTATTTGTAAGTCAATGTTTGACGTCGATTTATTAAAAATGGCGAACTAAGCAAGTTTTTCGTATTTACAAAATGAAAAGTGTTGTTCCGTTAGTGATATTAAAATAATTTCAAGTATACATTTAATTTTGTTGGTGAAATTTTTGACGCAAAAGTTCGTTTAGTAACTCTCAGCCTTGGTGAGTACTTGAGCTTGAGTTCGTTAATAAAGCCTATTGAATTAAATTGCACGGATCTCGTCTAATTGACGATTGAAGTTGAACGAAGTCAGATCTTAATAAAGACAGATTTGTTAATACGGGCCTTATATATATTAATAAAAACTGCAAATATTCGTTATTGCAAATTTAAATATCGAACCAACATCAAACCATGGTTCAATTTACAATAGAGAATTTTGTCTATCTGTACAATAGCATCGTAATCAGTATGTTTTAAAAAAACCTTATTGCATTGCGAGTATATCAATTCACTGGTGCGTATTTAGTCGCTTTACAATTAAATAAACTGATACAAAACATGCCCGATTCCCTTAAAAATAGCACCAATGCAATACCAGCACATATAGATTACTGCCAACACTAAAAAAGAAACAATTAGCAACACCGAGCTTGCAAAAAGGCGATGAAATTCTTCAGCGCTTGAAAGAACAATGCCCAAGTTCCATATAGTCCTGCAGCTTGATTGTGAAGCGTCTCTTCCGAGTCGGGGCGCATGATCGCGATTCACAACTGGTCGATAAGAAAATTTTGACATTTCAAATCGGAACAACAAATTAGAAAGATATAACAGGAATCAGGTTCATCTTCTCGCTCGGAAACCCATCTGATTTCGAGACTACCCGATCGGTTAGCATGCTGGACCAGCTAAACAAAACTTGACGACCATCAATGGCAGATACAAGGTTTCATTTGTTTCCATATAGTTCCTAATTATACTGGATTTATACATTTTTTTAAACTGGGGACAGTTGATTAACAGCAACTTTTTCTTTTTGAGGTTATCTTGAAAGTAATAATTCACTACGACTGACGAATGAACTAAAATGGTGCAAAAAATATACGATTTTTTAAAATACTTTAAAAAATTAAATGCGATGTTAGCATTTAATTGAAGTCTCGTTAGGACTTAAAATGGTTTTTCCAACGTTGAGACAATTTCTTCTTGAATTTTTTGAAACTTTGAAGTATAGAGTTAAGTTAAAGAATACTTACGAATTTACGATAATTGCTTATCGGTGTTACAATTATCTCAACGCTGAAGAAATAATCGCAAGTGTAAACAAGGCTTAAAATAAAATGTCAAAATGCAATTCGTGCGTGTTACGTTCAAAAACAATTTTTAAGTAGTTTTAAAAATTCGTATTTTGATTTCTCCAACGTTTCTTAAAGTTTTGTAAATGAAACTTGTATTATTTTATAACGTAAATTTAGATGGACATAAATTTTCAATCAGTTGCGAAAAAAAGTTGCGAGTAAAAAATGGGCATTGTTCTTTGCGTGGTTTTTATTTAGCAAGGCTTCTTTATGGATTTAACGAATTATGGTAAGCCATTTTTTTAGAGATATGTCGTTTTTTAATTATTTGGTAACGAGAATTTTTAGCACATTGAAATAGAAGATATGGTTAATTCGAATAGATAATATAGAAGATATTATTAATTTAATAGAATCCGCACCCATCTAACCGATCACGCTAAATGTAGAAAATATACAATTCTCATGTAAATATGTTTAGATATGTATAAGTAAATCAATTAATTCCTATGGTAACACTTTGCCCAAGGGATTTTAGGGCAGTAGAAAAAAGAGCGGCATCTTTTGAACAAATACAAATTACGTAACTTCCATCTTTCGTATACCTTCATTAGTTTATCCCAAAAAGATGCCCAAACTCTACAATTAAAGTTAACTACCAAAAATTACATTAACAACAAATATAAACATTAACACCTGTTAAAATTTACAAGACTACAACTTAAAATTAACATAAGTGTCGCTACTGTATACAAAACGTACCTAAATATATTTGGTCTCATTTTAGAAACGGTTACATTTCAACAGAAACTTAATACATACATACTTGCCTATGTCCTACTGGAATAGGCAGAGACTACAGACGTCCGGCTGCTACACTCCTGACATAATCTCTTTCGCTGTCTCCGCTTGCATCAGTCTTTGCATACACGCACATTTTTATTATATTTACGCCGAGGTCGGCCTATTCCCAAGCTTCCATCCACATTCGCTCTATAAATTTGTGAACAGAAACTTAATGGAAAAATTATACATTATAGTTGTATATTGTGTAGCTCGATATTGGTAAACAGTTTAGTATATAGTTTTTTTTAAATAATATATGGTTAAGCAGCCATTTACAAGTTATCTAAGCCAAAAGTTGGCGCGTGCCATTACGGAGAAAATACCCTCAAACTTCTTAGTAAAGTAGCTAGAACATTTGCTAAGCATTCAGCTCTTAAAGCTAATTGCCCTTCAAGGGTGGAATCTTCTTGGCCGTGGTTTTGGTCTTTCTTGGCGTTGTGCTCGTGTATGATCTGTGCCATTTCTGCTCCAGCCAAGTCTTTAAAAGCTGCTGTGACGTCATGCACGCGTAGCACCAGGTTTCTTGTTTGGAGTGGCGCTGATGTGTGTCTGCCTAAAGCCTGTAAAAATAAGGTTGTAGTTGGCGTGTATTTTTGTTTACTGGAACGACAGCCTCACATTGGGCGCCATTTTCATTTGTCTGTTCAACCCGAATTTGAACGTTATTTCGTGCATAAATTTCATGTTAACTAAGTTTGAAGAATGATTAAAAATTATATTAAAAGTTTATTATTAATAGATACCTGGGCTAAATCTGACAACCGTCGTAACGGCGTTAGACAGTCTGCCAGAGCAGAAGGTGCGTTGCTGCCTTTACCGCTTCCCAAGGCTCCGACGAGAGTTCGTGATGCACCCACCAGTGACACTGCGCATGTCGTTAGCTCGGTGCGTGCGCGCTGCAATTTGAGATATTAAAGTGGTTGAGAAACTGTAAGAACTATTGACTGATATTAAACTATAATAATATGTATATCATATTATACTTAGGCGATGACTCGACTATCTTTTATGTAGAATTTCCTGCAGTATCATACTATAAGGGATTTACATCTATTTTACCGGCACCATACTTGATACCTTAAAATTTGCTTGCACAATCAACTGAAGGGAACGGGAATAGTAATTTAAAGTAACTTACTTGAAATTTTACTTCATCAATATCTTCTCCGCCACCGTGAGCATGTTGATGTGAACATTTTTGCGCAACTTGGTGCAGTCTCTGCAGCAGACCCTCCACAGCCACTTCCGTCTTACACAGCAAGTTCTCTATCGATACATGCCCGTTGTTACCAGGTTGGAACTCGGGGAACTTCACTGTCGGAGGCGAAGGGGGTGTTGGAATGTCAGGGTCGACTACTTCATCCTTGAACCTCACGTGGTTCACCTTCGGAGTAAGAGTCGCACTGTCTCTTCTAAAAGCTTTGCGCTCCGATAAAGGAGGACTGAAGACACGCTGATCACTTCCAGGAGCACCGTTTAAAATGTCAGGTCGATTGCTAAACCGTCTGTTCGTTTGAGGAGAACAGAGAGATAGCGCCGTTGACATATCTTTATTCTTCAATATTGTGGCTTTCGTTTCAGAGTTTGATCGCACGTGACGGTTCTGAAGAGTCATTGAGCTGTAGTTTTGTGTAGCCCTGATATTGTGCGATTCATCGTCTGTTAATCGATTTTCGTTTTCCAGGTTTCGGTAAGTATTTAGGTTTCTCTGGAAGTGTGGTGAACCAATGCTCGCCAATCGCTGCTCAGGGTTGCGAGTTGGTGATTGTTTCTGCGAAGTTTTTAACCGTAAGACTTCGATGCTTGGAACTGGAGGTAATGGAGGTTTTTTTGGAGGTAGGAGTAACGGAGGGGGAGGTGACAGAACTCTGTTCTCTAACCGAGGAGGCAACTGAGGTGGACCTGGAACTCCTTGCTCGTTGATGTCACAAACTACTTTGTAGTTCAACTTCCTGTTGTTTAACGTACTGAAATGGTTATTGGTGATTTCGACAACGGTCAGTTCATTGTTCAGGCATGTGAATGAATTTGATCGGGGTCTCGGTGCAGGTGTGGGTGGATTTTTTGGGGGTCGTTCAGGTGGTTTTCTGGGCTCGTTTTTTCTTCTAGGAGGCGGCCGTATCTCACAGACGTCAGGCATTGAATCGGAGTTTTGGATTTGACTCTCAATTTTCTCCGATTCATCACTAGTGTCATCATTTTTACTTTTGTCTTTACTACAACATGAAAACATACCTTTTCTTTCAACTGTAGGGTACTCTATAACGTGTGCACTGCCATTTGACTGTTTTTCTGTTATGCTTTTTCTTTTACCTTTTGGCGAATCACATTTTGCTGGAGCTTGAGTTTTATTCTTATCCCTTAACAGTAGACTATTTCTAGCTTCGCTTAAACTCTTAGCTGCAAACATATTCCTAATCTCACTCACACTAAGCGTTCCTTTAACTACATCACCATTGGAAGGTTTCACGTTTATATTATTCCTTTCTCTTTCTTTCTGCGCTTCAAGAATTTGGCTTTGATTCACGTAACTGACTGGTTCTCTATCTAATGTGGAGGAGTTTGACCCCGGCGGTGGTGGAATGATGTATGACATGATTTCTTCAGGAGTGAGTTCTATGGCGGGTGTTACTTTTACGGTGGGTGGCTGAACAGTAACATTTGCGATAAATTCTTCAAGATCGTTGGCTTTTGGGGTTTTACATAAGTTTTCTTGTGAATTTACCTTGTCGTCAGCGAACGATGGCGGTACGACGGGTAATATTTGAGGCACTTGTGTTGCACTATCTAATTCATCTGGGGTTTGCGGGGGCGGTATCAATGTTAAATCTATAAGCTCGGGGTCGTTATCTACTATAGTTTCTTGGTAGTAATATGGGAAATCTGCAGGCCTCGAATCTTCTTTGCTGCTTTTTTCTCTGAGCTGTTTCAAATATTCTTTTAAGTTAGATTCCTTAGCATCTAAAGTAGCATCAGGACTATGCAACCCAAAACTTGTTCTAGCTATCTTATTATTGGAAGATTTGTTTTGGTGTTTTCGTATAGGACTGTTCGTGGGCGTGTACAGTGAATCGTTGTCACTTTCAGAGTGGAGATCGTTATTCAAAGCTAGTAAAGCTTCGGTCAAACCACAGTTATTCAATATAGCGCTGAGTCCTTGAGACTGTCTATTGATTAGACTAGCGTTATTGTCTTTCTCCCCTTCTGGAATACTAAGGCCATTTAGCCCTTGGTTAATAGTTTCCGTAAGTAGCAACAACGAATCGCTGTGCTTGAGGATACCAGGTGTATCATCAGCTGCGGACATCCGACTGTTATTGGACTCCGTATCACTTTCTAACTGATCCACACATGTTTCTTTTCCAACCAGTTCATCTCTCATCACTCCATTATAGTCTTCAGTGTAAGCATCACAGTTTTCAGTCAAATATTGTTCGGAGTTTTCAACTAACTTCTGCATTTCTGCCACTCGTCGTAACACCTCGTCGTTCTTGGCCTCTACAAGTTTTGGGTTCGCCGCATTCTCTAAGAGTTCCATAGACAGAACGCTATGAAGATCGAATCCCATACCGTCGTCTAAGTAGCAAGAATCGTTAGGATCGAACAGCCTAAAATCTTCGTTTCTTTTACATTTTTCGAAATGGATATCATGACCTAATAATCCGTGATTAGAGTCATAACCAATCAATGGACTGCTGTTATTGCTGTGGTTTCTGTTAGTGATGCTTGAGTTCATATTGGTGTCTAGGGATTTCTGATCTGGTGTAGAATGATATGGCGGAGGCATTGTGAAGATTGCGAAGTGTTTCTTTGTGAGATTAAGAGGATCGTCATGGTGCAGGTAGCTCCACTTAGCTGGGATCACGTTGTGCTGCGACAGGTACGGTGGAGCTGTAAATACAGGAAAGCAAGTGTGATTTAACGATGTTGTATTTAAGGGCTTCAGATTAATTTGCTCATATGTCGTAAGCGTTGGTATAATAGTAGTGATGATGCTGACACTGGTAATGTTTGGTTGACATATTTATTTATTTGTGTCGCTATGAGACTATAAAGCTCTCACGGCCGTGGGATACGGTGGGAAAGTACTTAAATATTATAAATAGGATATTTTGATTCATGAAGACATTCATTGACTTACAAATAAATGGACGACGGGTCTAATACAAAAACCACGAAAAAAATGTCCCAAGTCAACCTATTCGAAATTTAAATTGTAACGTCATCGCAGTATCGCGCTGTCAGTAGAACAAATGAAGACTAAAGCGGAGTGTCGCGCTCTGTATACGATTTTAGCGCCTTACAAGTGCGGACACTTTTTAGCGCGGACCCGACGTCCATATAATTGTAAGTCAATGAAGACATTATTCTATTTTTAGATTTTTAAAAGTTTGCATACTTCGTCTGGGAATCTATCAAATGTGAGAAAAAAGTTCGGTATGATAATGATGCCGCTCGAAAGGATCCTTTATAAGAATGAATTCCTTATAAATAACATAGTGTGTTATAATTATTAATACGAAGATTGAACACAAAGAAAAATTAACTCGATCCGGCTGGATTCGAACCAGCGTCTTCACCATACCGTGGCTGATGCTCTCCCAACTGAGCTACGGCACGAACCAGCACACCCTACGAATTTTACTATGTGATTGTTGCAGATCTTTCTTTTTAATTTGTATCAATTGATTTTACAAAAAATAATTGAATATTATGGTAGTAAAACATGGTGATATTTAGTAAACTTAACATTACATTGTCTTAATTTAAAGGAACATCTTAAAAGTCTTTGAATGCAGTCTTGCCGCGAAGATTTTGTATACACGTTTAGTTAGGTAGTACTTTCATTTATCTGTCTTGATTTTATTAAGTGTTTTCTTGATGTACCGTCTTTCTAACGGGGCTGACATGTTCAATAACGATCAAAGCCCCTAAATAAATAAACATTAAAAAAAAATAAAAAGAAAATACTTTCCCCATGAAGCAAAACATCTTATCTTACATATTTAAATACTTTCCATCCAGATTCCACAGCCGGGAGACGACCGTATGTGAAATAAAGTTTCTTAGGAGGAGTGCGTAATAACTGCTGTTGACAATTACCTATATCTTCAGTCAAAGGCTCTCTTTCCTGTTCAACATTCAGCTCTTGTCCAGTAGCAAGACGGTAATACCTGAAAACAATTGTAATTTAATTTTCAATGCTGAAAACTGGCTAAAATAAAAATATAAAAATAATTATTTAAGAATAATGTACATATATCTTTAAGTACCACGGAGAGTCTGCAAAAAGTCGGTTTTCAACTGAAGCTATTAATTTCATATTTATCCCAAAACTTGGAAATTGCCTAGCGACAGTCGCCATCGATTCGGCGTTTGTCAACGTCCGATCTGTGTCAATATTTGTCTGCATGTGCTTATTTAATCATATTAATTTTCTGAGCGCGGATTGCCGGAAACGCAGGCGGCCCCCCACTCCTCGCCTTCAAATATAGGCTGGCATTCAAATACCTCGCCTTAAAACATAGTTTCCCAAAGTGGTCTCTACCGTTCCCCAGTGGGCGCTGAAGGGCGGTAGGGGCATCGGAAGCAATCGGGAGGCGTTGATGCTGTCCTGAATTTACTATGTAAACTGCACTACATAATATAATTTAGTTCCTTTTGATTTTTTGTGTTAAGTTAATATGAAAAATACGTGTTGTTCATTAACCTATTGTTGTCAATTATTTTTTGTGGTGGCGGGCGTTGAAATTTTTTATCTTGACTAAATGGGCGGTGAGCCAAAAAGTTTGGGAACCTATGCCTTAAAACGTATAATTATATACCTAATCATAAACGTGTTCTATCATTTTGTACCTTTGTTAATAACAAACTAAGAAGTGATAGTCTATTACCAAGAACGTGCTTAGTTCAAGTCCGTTCGAGGGCCGCACTACCGAAACTGTCTAGCACTTAAGTTTATTACATAATTGTAACTCGACGGGTTAAGTACTGTTTTACTGTACCACGTTAGTTCCATAGGGCGATTTGATGTTTCTTTGATGCCCGATTACACGCGAGTTACGAAATTGACAATGTGGACAGTGAATTTAAGTTTTTCGTCTCTACGCGGTCGTTTAGAATTTTAGTTTGTCATTTTCTGTTTGCAACAATAAACGCGCTTTTAAATGTTTGGAGTAAGGTACTACTGATCTACCGCCACTCAAGCAGATGACGTGAGCACACCCCGGACGCGTACCGGCCTGGGCGGAGAGTGTCCGTCCTCATTACTTTTTTGTTCTCCGACGTAAGTTAAAAAAAGTAGTAACACTGTCTCTGAGGACCTCTAAGTGGTCCGTGTAATGAACAGTACAGTATAGTAAGAGAGCGTTGTCGTATGCAAGATGATGTAGTGAAAAGGACAGAGAGGGATGCTTCGATGGTTTTGGTCATGTAGAAGGAATGAATGTTGGGAGATTGACGGCACAATTTATAGAGCGAATGTGGATGGAAGCGTGGGGAGAGGTAGACCTCGGTGAACATATCTCAATCAGATTGAGGATGTCCTTAAAAAAGGCTGGGTTAAAAGACCAGGAATAAACGGGCATGTATGAAGAGATTGATGGGAGTGGATGAGGCGACGGAGGTTTGTCAGGAGCGTAGCATGTTGAGGTCCATAGTCTGTGCTTACCCCGGTGGGAGACAGGCGTGATGATAGGTATGTATGTAATGAATATCGAGGTTCCATATAAGCATACTTAACATAATGCATTAACATAAAAACGGCCATGCGTTATTGAAGCGACCGAGACGCGCGTCAATGCAACCCGCGAGCCTTTTTTCTTTTTCACCTTTTAAGAAAGGGTCCGTGGGCTTTTCAAAATTTTAAGAGGGCTCCATGACTAGAAAAAGGTTAAGAAACCCTAGTACACGGTAACAAACTCACCCAGCTATAACCAAGGGCATCTCAGCGGCGTCTCTCTCGTCCATCAAGAGAGCTAAGACGCGATCTCGTTGCAAGAAAATGGCGACGTCAGCGCTGCCTGGACACTCGCTCTTCACTCTGATGCCTTCTACTTCTTCTAACGAGGCAATTGATTGCGGCTGAAATTAAAATTAATGTGATGTTTGAAGAAAATACAATAACGGACATAAGAAGCAGCCTGGTGGTAAGCGACACGCCTAGCCATAGCAGTTGTAGTGCCACTCAGAAGTTTAAATATGAGAGTTCTGAGGCACTACCACAGCGCCCGTCATCCTGAGACATAAGTTGACAAGTGCCTGTAATGACTTGATGATGATTGAAGAAATAAATTTCTCACAGACAGCAAAATGTCATTAAAAACCAAAAACGAAGATCTGCAAGAAGCACAGAAAAATTCGTGAGGTCTGCTGGTTTGAATCCATCCGGATCGAATGAAATTTTCTAAGCGAACACTTAGAAAAATCTTTGTTATTAATAATTATAACAAACTGGTGGAGTAATTTCACAAAAAAGTAATTGAATATCTTGTTAATAAAACATCGTGACATTCAATGAATTTAAAAAGTGCCTGTAATTTCACCAGCACCGGAACGCAGTAATGCTCACATTACCGCTTTGCGGTAGAAATAGGTAAGATGGCTGCATTTCCCTGGACGAACTCTTTTACAGCTCTACTGCTATTAAAATACGGCGAGACAGGGTAGTAGGTTAATTCTGATCTATTCCAAGAATGGAGGTTTGTTAAGTTATTATAAACAAGGAATCTAATAAATCAAATTTCAATTAAACTGGATCAAACAAAGCGTTGAACTTAATATAAAGTTACTTAGTTGAACTTGTTTTCCTTAATTACATAAATGTACACACTTTAGAGCGTCGAGTTAATAATGATTGTTTATAAAATAAAGTTAAAATAATATAAAGTAGAAATATATGACCCGAACAGGTCTTCGTTCAATCCATTCCCTGTTTGCGTCGCGGTGGATGGAACGCCAGTGCTTCAAAATTGGACCAGACATATCGTTAGAAATGCTCTCAGTATACCGTTCTAAGAATAACGCAATCTGTCCCAAAAGTTATAGATGTCAGTTTCAGGTAACCATCGATCGAATATTACGTCTATGTACTCTATTGTATTGCGTTTAGGCCACGTTAAAACCGAGTTAAAACTCTCGGCATTCAAAATAATCCCAAAATAGAGCCAATTATTGAAATATCGCAAAAACTTATATACATATACAAATGAGACCAAAAGCAGTCATAGGCCTATGTCATTTTTTAATTATATAAGAAGTACCATTCCATTCCTTCATCACTCATAACCAATGGTCGGAGAAAGGTGTTCCACAATGGTTCCACATAATAGATACCTGTATAGACATAGCTACAAAAGCGACATAGAGTTGCTAAAAATATTAATTAATTGCTTTTTCGAATTCCGGATTTTCGGAAATGGTTTTACTGTATCGTAGGACAAACTGATGCCATGTAAAAAAATCCATTAGACAGCCTTGTTGCCGTTCCGTCAATGTGAATGTCAATACATATATATGTAGTACACATATATATATATGTGAGCCTTTAGAATATTTAAGAGGGAGCAGAGGAAAAATTCCTAATTTTCGATTTGATTTTAGAGGGGTATATACACTTTAAAGTTAAAAATAAAGAATTGTATGAGTAACAACACGATATATTCAAGCATAGACATTAATCAGAAACATAAAACAATAAAGTTTCCTCGATAGATAAAAATCACGAAATGACCTCTAATTTTCACATTTCTTCGATTTATCCTCGAAATGCTACAGGTTATTAGGACAAAAATTAGATAATTAATTATATTTATGCATGATCGACAACTGTCACTACGGATTTTTTTAAATCCCTGTCGCATGTCACGCGAACTTCAGGCATATATTTGTTTCACAAATTTGGGCGGAGCCAATGAAACCTTTTTTGGCATGAGAGGTCTTTAGTACTTTAAGTTATTTCTTATTATCATCAGTGAATTTTTGTCACGATTGGCTGCCCCTAAAATCTGGCCGCCCTAGGCCGGGGCCTACTAGGCCTTGGGGCAAATCGGCCACTGCCAATAGGGCACTATAACCTGTTCCAGCACAGGGAGCTCACCATAGTACAGATCAGTCGGTGAACAAAATTATCATAGACCGTTGTCATGAACTTCTTCCGGTTCTCAAAAGGATGAGCAGCCCCGGGCGCACATACAGCACCTTCCCTATTTTCCAGATCGGTACCGAAGTTGTTGACACGTTCATTTCCAGTTGTACATAGCACAACTAACGTATTTGACGGTTGATAATGGTAATGACGGATAATTTTCTTACCACAGAGCTGCTCCGGCCGACGATCTGACTGAGACCGAACCTGGGTGAGACCAGCAACACCCGTTCAGGTCTTGTACTGCTGAAGCACTTGGCCCCGTAGCTTGGCAGCCCACCCACAATGTCAAGGTAATGAAGTTTTGCCTGCAAATTTTATAACATACTCATGACACGTCGTTACTATATGATTTTCATCTTGTCTGGGAACAGAAAGTTTATGAAGTCGATTCTTCTTTTTCTTCCTATCCTATCAATGGCATACACTGTAATCTTGCCATCATGGTGAAAGATGCGCTAGACGTGCAGGAAGGAATGGTATATCGTAGGGGGAAGCTGTTTTCGTCCCCCTATGACATTGGTAAACAGACTATAGGTTAAACACGTTGCATATACATGGCTTCATATAGTCGCAAAGGCTAACAAATTAAAATACATTACAAGACTAGTATTTATGTGGTCTGTGATTACAAGCACTCTCAATCTCATACAAGGAATGTCGCATTGACATGTGTGACACTAAGTGACAAAGTTATTTTTTGAGATACCATAAAAAACCATAACTCTGTTTTGGAATATTCAATTTGTTTAATGATATTTCAGCTATGCATCATTAGGGTAAGTTCCGATAAGTTGAACACGTTAATTAATTTCAACTGTTTTTAAAAGATAATTTTGAGCTCTATCTTTTGCTATTTAAAACGGATAACTGACCATTTGTCACTTAGCCTCGTTTTAGTTAGAGGATGGCAGAACTCCGCATATTCAGACGCTTATTTAGATTCTAAACGCTGATCTGTAGAACCATCTATTGATCGGCATTAAGAACCAAGTAAACCGGCGGTTGTAATAATATTCGAAAAGCCCAATAGATGGCAGCAATTACATTATTGTGAAAATTATTGCTATTCTTCAGGCGGTGATTATGGATGCAATGTCGTATAATAAAACCACAAAGACGCTGAGTCAGTTACTTTAATGGTAGAAGTTTCAAGAAATAATTCAAAGAAGTGCCATCTATACAACTGATTGCAAACTAACAAGTCAAAAAGAATACCATCTAGAAACCTTCGATTTGTTACCTTTTCAACGAACAGTTAAATGCATTAATCAATTTTCATAATTGTAAATGAATTTTAATTTCAACATTTCTAAAATGTTGTTTAACGGGTTTCGTATTTCATTTTTTATTATTATACTTCTTATTCTCCATGACAACTCAAATTTTCGAGATTAAATTTAATATTTCTTAATTTTTATTATGTCCACGTGTCGCCATCTACAGTTTTAAATGTACACTAAAGTTAATTTGTATTTGATACCCCATGGTACTGTTATGCCGCCATATTAGTCAGATCTAAATAAACTAGTGCCCATTTTTTGTTGTCCTTTCCTACTTCCAAGACATCCGTAGAACCACTTCGAGTCTTACTGCTTCTAATCAAACGCAAAAAAGGAGAAAAAACAATAGTACAAACGACTTAACCCATACCTGTAACTGAGACAACTGTTTCTGACTGCCAGTCATTTGCAAATTGAGCTTCAGAAAGTGTGCGATGAGACGACGAAGCTCTTTGCGTTTCATGCTTTCGAGAAGGCTGCAAGGCACGAAGCGCTCTAGACCAAACTCTTGCCTGGAAAGTCGATAAAGCGTGGTTACAATAAATTACCCTAGGAATGAAAAAAAAAACCGATTGTGGCTAAAGCTTAGAATAGAATAGAATAGACATTTGTTGCAAGTAATGCTTAGCAAGTTCCGATTGTACCAGTCGCGATACGCCTGTCAAGAACAGCTAGTTTATTTTTATTCCTTGTATTATTGTTATGTCTGTCACTATTTTTCATAAAAAAAATATTATTCTTCACATAATTGATCTATTCAACACAAGTTATGCGTCTAGAGAAGTAAGATAATGAACAGTAAAACTGTGTAAACTGTGTTAAGAGGGAGCAGAGGAAAAATTCCTAATCTTCGATTTGATTTTAGAGGGGTATATCCACTTTAAAGTTAAAAATAAAATATTGTATTAGTAACTACACGATATATTCAAGCATAGACATTAATCAGAAACATAAAACAATAAAGTTTCCTCGATAGATAAAAATCACGAAATGACCTCTAATTTTCACATTTTTTTTATTCATCCTCGAAATGCTACAGGTTATTAGGACAGCAATTAGATAATTAATTATATTTATGCATGTCACTACGGAGTTTTTTTAATCCCTTTAGTTTTAGAGTTATTCCGCTAAAACGAATTTGGTACTATTAATGCGCAAAATTCAACATCTCCTGTCGCATGTCACGCAAACTTCAGGCATATATTTGTTTCACAAATTTGGGCGGAGCCAACGTCAAAACTTTTTTGGCATGCTCCCTCTTAATACAAGAGAGTTATTGTTGTTCTTTTTTTTTATATAATGTAATCATAGGTTTTATGGATAATTTTATGCATTTTTATGTGGGTTTTGCGAGTTAATTATATTAATACCATTATATCAACTGCGTTGTCGCAATGTGAAATCTTGTGCTTTTTATCTGTATTTTGTCTTTTTTTTTTTTTGTTATTTTTATTATTTTTCTAAACGGTTTGTGTAACCAACACAATTTCTATCGGCGGGGTACTGTTTGCTTGCCAATGTTATTTTAATTTCTATAAGTATAAGCTTTTTGTGCCCCAACCCCCAACCCCTAAATAAATAAAATAAAATAAATTACATTTTCATAAATGTACTGTGACACTAGTTTAAGAATGTTAATCTCTTCAATGCTCAATATAGTCAAGTCAAAGTGGAAATACTTACTCAACAGCTTTAACAGTCAACTTCCCAGGAGACACGTTATTCGCCAAAGCATGTTGATGCATGTGCAACGCAGCTAACCTCAAGGCGACATCGGGCTGCAGTTCTGGAGCGAATCGGTCTTGGGCCACGTCATTGCAGCATTGTAGGTAGAGATAGTCTAAGGCTGCGAGATCTCTTTGGGCCAGTTCTGCTGCTGAGGTCGGCATGAAGACTACGCGGTACAGACAACGCATTTTGTGAGAACCTGGACGAGCTGCGATCTGAAAGAGATAAATAAATGTATAGACATTTTTCTATATACAAGCTCCTCCTACCAGGCACATTGGACTTGTCTCACAAGAGCAGTGGCCGTACTCCTCAGGTCCAAATGTTCATACTTCTTCATTTTTTTCACTTGATATCATTAAAAACAGCTGTATTTGCATTCTCTGAGTAGACAGCCTCATTTCTTTTTTATTATTTATTTATTATTTTTTATTATATGAAGTGACAGGACAAAGCCGTGCGGCTGATGGTAAGCTACACACTTGTCCATGACAGTTGCAGTGTCACTTAGAGCTTTAGATCGCATATGTGCCTGTCACCCTAAGACATAAGTTGACAAGTCCCATGTGCCTTTAATTTCACCAGCAACCTTATTACCCTTCAAAACCGGAGTAAGTGAGTCAGGTGGCAGTACTTCCTTGGACGAATTCTTTCACAAGGAGCTCCACTGCTACTAATCAGTACTATATTGCTAGTTGGATTCAAAATAAAGTGTTTCTTATATGTGAAATTAAACCCGAAACCTGTTGAGCCTTCATGAGGTGTCTACGTCCATTTGCTTTGTACCAAAATTGACACGCAATTAAAACTCACCCTTGCCAGCAACTCCTTTGGGTCCAGAAGCGTCAACTTATTTCTTCTAACGCTCTTCACGTGTTCCACAACCAGACTGAAGTGCTCCTCTGCAGTGATATAAAGCTTCTCCTTCAAACTGGTTACGACGTCCGCCACTGTAGTTGTCGTATCGTATTTGAACGATTTTGTCTGGCCGTTCTCCAAGAAAACCTTCAAGACGTTCGCCATTGGCGGTAGGCATAGATCTCCGAGGGAGAAGGCAGATGGCTGGAAAACAGAAGATATAATTATTAAGTTTTGTTAAAAGTTCCACTGAAACTAAAAGGCTTTGTTTAATTAGGCATAAAATTTGTAGACAGAGGTTCCGAATTCCGAAATCCGAAGACGGCCGCAGATCCAAGACATGGGAGATGGGATAACAAAGTTAAAATGGAACAGACTGGAACATATTGTTTTAAGCCTCGTGAATGGCGAATTGAATTTGAATATCAACGGAAATCTTATTAAAGAAGTTTATAAGGTATCTCAACGCAAGCCTAGATTTAGAAGGTGAGGTGTGGGGGGTCCCCTGGCGTCCCACAATCCGCGCGCTGTAATTTAATATGAATAAAATAAGAACAGGCGGAGAAATTTTGATGCATATCAGAAGTCGACAAGCGTCCGATGGCGACTGACAGGGCCAGCGGACAGCGTGGTGTATCGTTAAGACGCTGTACAATTTCAAAATTTTGGGATAAATGTGAATAACGATAGGGCTTCAGATGAAAACCAAAATTTTGCAGGTTCTCTGTAGTACTTAAAGTGAAATATTTCCATATTAAAATGATATTCCATAAAAAGTTACATATTTTATTCTTACAATTTCATTTAGCTCGTTTTCAAGATCTTATATGATCGAATAAAATACATCCTATCGAGTTCCAAATTCCGAAATCCGATGACGAACTAAGGTCCACGACATAGGAGATCGGATAACGAACTTAAAATGGAGCTGTGGTGAACATAATTGCGAGACGTGGTGAAGACAGATGGAGTAAGGTGACAACCGAATGGTGAGCAAGAAGGGATAGCACAGGTAGCAATAGAAACAAACAACATCCGGCAATGAGATGAGTAGACGACATTGTCAAAGTCGCAGTCCGTAGATGGGTGAGACCGTAAAAGCGTGGCACATACTACGGATATACCCAGCAGTGGGATGAAGTCAGCTGTGATTGATGATTTTCATTACTTTGTAATAGTCACAAATTTATCACTGGCTGATTTCAATGTGAACGAGATGTAGGAGAGATGGGTGGACAAAATTGATCTCAACGCAGGAGGCAACAAAAAAAAAACAGTAGTGAGTGAAGTCGGGCTGTGGATGATAATACACTAAAATTCAATATGAATCGGTCAATCGTGCGACCGAATACGAATAAATTGCATCCCATTTCTTGAATGGGTCATTATGTCCACAAAGGAACGTTTGGTTCACCATTACCTTTTTAACCGGCCACCACAACGCTGCGTTCTCGAATCTTATTTATTATTTTATATCTATTGTGACATTGTAACTTGAGTATTGTAAATCACGCGGTTATCTTACCGGATACATGGGAGCCCCATTTAACTGCACAGAATCAGCAAACCGGACTCTTGGAGGTCTGGATCTCAACCTGGCTCTTTTCGCCGCTGACAACATCGCCGATCTTCTGGTAGGGTTGCCACTTCTTGCTGGCTGGCATACTCTGAGCGTCACACGTTCGGCGCAAGCACGAACGGCTGAAATGACGTGCTCCCGCGCTGCCATGCTGACATCTTCACCGTTCACGCAGACAATCTGATCTCCTGGTTCCAGCTAAAATTAATCATTGATAAGTTACTCTTCCAGTTTTTTTGCAATTTCCTCGGAAGCCAATCTGCAATAAGCTATACTTATTTCTTTAAGAATTGTAAGGTGACATGAAACAGGCTATATAAGCATTGATTTCATCGTATTTAGAAACGTTAGAGAGATGCTACACGGACGTCTAAACCCAAGGCCACACCCCTCCCCGCTTCGTCTCCTGGTCCCTTGGCCGAAGTGCATGCGTTTCGTCGCCACGCGCGCGCCGTTTCAACGTATCATGTGGCATGTACTTCTAATTTACTATAATACAACGCAGCGTCACTGCTCAGGCGTCACAACGCCGACGCAACGCATCGTGTGGCATCGCCCATAGCCTAATAATAATAATAATAATAATTCATTTATTTCTGGAAACACAGGTTATATATGTACAAAATACGTATAGTTTCACTGTGTCCGGCCAAACAGCAGGCATACAAATATTGAATACATTCACTCACATGCACTTCGACAGACTAAACCAGGTGTAACATGTTTCGTTTTTCAAATATATTACATGAGCGTGCACACATTAATTTAATAAGTCGGTCAGAATTTAAACGTGATGATAGTTACATGGGTCGATTTTAATGGTAATTAGATGTCAAAATAATATCGTAACATGATTAACGTCAATAACGTCCAATGTCAAAAATTAGACAATGGATTTAGGGATTTATCATTTAAAAATTCAG